ATAAATGAACGATCAAACATATTTATATGCCTTAAAATTGAAATGAGAATTAGAAGTGACTATGAATAATTAAAAGTACATCAATTGCATCACCTTTTTAATTTCTCATATTGAATGATGAATTGAATCACATTAAAGATCATGAGTAGTGAGGATATAAAAAATAGATAAAAATTCATATAGACATTCATTATTTTATAATAAAAATTAATATTTTGATTCCATTCGATTTTTTTAATTTGAACCGATTATTACTCGCACCTAAGCATAGGTACACGAATCCAACATCGTTGGTTTACGTGTTGGGCACTGCAAACAATAGAGCTGTGATGTGAATTGGGATCCCAAAAGTAGAGCCGCGGGAAAGCTACTAGTTGACGAGGCCTTGAAAGGGGCTTAATTTTGTGCCTAAGATAAAGAGAGAGTGAAAGCGTGTAGTAATCTTCAAGCGTCTCACGAGTTATCCCCATCTTTATCAATCATAAGGCTGCATGCTCCTCATGATCTGTGCCAACTTTATTGCCTCCTCGGTTTCTTGGGATTTTTCATAACTCAATAATATAATAAAAACAATCTTTAAGATATGGTCCGAAAGTGAGTAAACTTTAAATTAATCTTTTCAGTTTTGAGAAATTAATTAATTTATCTTTTTTAAAAAAAATTCTTCAGTTTTTATAATTTTAAATTTTCTTATAACTTAATTCTTTTTTATTTTTTCAAGTTATTTTAATTTTTTATTTGAAGACATAGAAAAAATATTAAAGAATTAAAAAAGATAATTTTTTAAAATAAATTATTATTAAATTAAATATGATCAACATTGATCGGAAAACTAAATAATTAATTTTTAATGCAAACACGAATGATTAATTTGTTTCTTAAAAATAGAGAGGCTAATTTAAAACTTACTTTACATAATAACAACAATCTTCTCACGAGAGTAAATTGTAAATTAGCCCCTCTATTTTAGATAAAAGAATTAATTAATTCTTTTCAGTTCAAAAACTATTAATTTAATTTTTTGACTAGTATTAATATTATTTAAAAAATTATTTTTTTCATTGATCGTTCTGTATTGTTTACTTATTTTTTCTTTTTTCCATTCCTTAAAATAAATTAAAAAAGAACTAATTGATTAAGTTACAAGAAATTTAAAAGTATAGCGATTAAAGAATTAGTTATTGAAACAAATGAGACTAATTAATTTGCTTCTAAAAACTAGAGAGACTAATTTATATTTTACTCTACGATATTGTCTAAAAGTTAAGTAAATTGTAAATTAATCCTTTTAGTTTGAGATACGAATCAATTAGTCCTTTTTTTTCAAAATTAATTATTTAATCTTTGTATTTTTAAATTTTTTATAACTTAATCCTTTTCTTTTTTTATTTTAATAAATTAACAAAAATAAAAAAATATGTAAAATTATGAAAGGATCGATGAAAAAATGATTTTTTAAAAAACAAAGTAATACTAAATTGTGTGGTCAACATTTTAATTAAGAGATTAAAAAATTATTTTTTTAAAACTAATGGGGATTAATTAATTCCTTTAAGAAACTAATTTATAATGTACTCTCTAAAAGTTGGACTTTGTTAAAAAAATAAAAATAAAAAAATGGTTGGACTCAATTAGTAGCCAAGCCAACGTACCGCCACTCCCCAGAAAACAAAACAAAAAATCTTACCCAACCAGAGAAACATAATTGTTGTCCTGCACATAACATGTGGTATATAAAAATGAAGCCATTTTCTTTCAGCATGGGACTTGCATTAATTTAAAAGTTTCTATCAGCATCCAAAAACAGTGACCTCAGCCCATACGTGGATTCAATATGTGGCGTCCCAAGTATGAATGTGAGCTCAAATCACAGGCATTGTTTAGATGCGCTTTCGTTGATAGTGATAAAGTGGCATCCATGTCTGCCCCTTGCCCATCAAAGCCCTAGTTTTTGTGGCTCAGGTTGGTTTGCCTTGATTATTTGTTAGCTTAAATGTAGTGGGTCCATTTTTTGAAATCTCTCTACCTCTTTTCTGGCTTTGAAAGTGGTGGCTAAACCATGTGCACCATGCCTGCCTGCTTCTTCCTAACTGCCCCAACAATCTTCGCTTTAAACACATAAAAAAATCTTGTGGTATTTAATAAGCTAAGGTCTTGCACCACATCTTCCTTTCTGTATCTTTAAAATCAATTGAAATAATAATAATTTACTTACAAAATGAGTTGAGCTGAGAATATCTTTAACATCGAATCAAAATAATGCTAAAAATAATAACCGATAAAAGGGAAGTTTGTCTCCTGTTATTTTTAAGCAACCTCAGCATTATTGAAATAAATAAATAAATAAATAAATAAATTGCTATTTCACAAGGGAAAACAAAAACAACAAGAATATATATATATACATATAAGCTATTTGATTAATAGAATATTCTTCTAATATTTTTTAAATTCACAGCTAGCGTGATTGGAGGTCTCGTAATTTTTCTTTTCTTTAAATTTTATTCGTAGCGGATGTCGCAATAGAATGCACTGTAAAATATGATTAAATATATGGTCATTCTGTACTCTAAAAAAATTAATAAAAAATTAGTGAAATTTAATTTTACTGTAAACTATAGATTAAAGAGTCTAAATCTAACATAAAGAGTCAATTTTAAATGAAAAAATAAAAAATAATTAAATAGAGATTCGATTTAAAAATAAAAACTGATTGTAAAATGATTTAAAGTTTAAAAAAGATTTGAATCATGTATCCAAAACTATAATCATTCACAAACCTGGATGGTATAATAACTATATATAATTACGTAAATCAAACAAACAAAAATAGAAAGGTCTTGTGATTTAACGGGGAAAAGAGAAAAAGACGAATCCTAATCAAATGATGGAAGGCAGGTGCGTAAAAGTCAAGTTAACGCCAGCGGCGAAACTCTCGTGCAACGCAACAATTGCCTTCGGAGTAGTGCATCTACAGAATGCATGTGTCGTTTTTCTTAACTTGCATTAGTAGGTATGGGATCAACTTGAAAAATTTAGCCAAACATTAATTTACAATTCCAATAATAATAATAATAATGTCTCTATCATACGTGGGATGTTTACTTTCATTTTTGTCTCTAATCATAATGGATATTTGACTAATTAACAAACAAAACTAAAGAATAAGAATTTTGATTATTCACTTATACTGATAATTCACACTCAATTGCATTATTCACTTATTAAACACATATTTTTTTCTTTCTTTTTTTGACCACATTGAAAAGCTGGATACATGAAATTAAAATGACCAGAGATACAACCATAACAATTTTCTCAAACAATGAAATATGCTTTTATAGCCCCTAAAACTTTCCGTAAAGAAAATAGAAAAATTCATTAAATGTATCAAATCAAAATGACACCAAGATCCATAAGTAAATAATAATAATAATAACATGATACTCAATATAATTAGCTCTCAATATGCTCCCTCGACCTACGAATCCCACGTCATATTTGTAAAAAAATCTTACACCATTATTGGTGGGGAATCAACAATTTGACTATAAAAAAATCCCACACCATCATCAGCAGGAAACCAACAATTTGACAAATATATAAAAACATCAACAAACAAAGGAGAGGAGGTCAATTCTTAAAAAAAATTGAAGAAAAAAAAAACAACAACCAAAAAAAAAAAAAAGAAACTAAAACCGAAAGAAAAAAAAACAAAGGGAAGAAAAGGATTTACCTATTTAATTGGAGCAAGAATACCTCTCACCATCATCCTCAATTCGAATTCCTTTGGATAAACTAATCATGTCAATGTAATTTTTCTTTGTATTTAGGGTTTTTAGATAGTTTTGGGTTTCGAACATTGGGGATTTTTGAGTTTGGATTGAAATTGAGTTTGAATTATTGAAAGAAAGACTAATTAAATGTCTTTGAGTTGTCAATTTAACTATTAAACCACAAATTTAGAGTCTGAATAGAACTAGATTGGAGATTGGAACCTAGGGTTTTTGGATTTTTTAAAACGAGTAATAAAATTTAGGGGTTTTCAAGATATTGGATTCTAAGAGGCTTGAATTGGCTTGATCTCGGGAGAAATCAAGGCAATTAAGGTTAATTAAAAAAAAATTGAAACTTAGGGTTTACTCAATTTTGAGAAAATTTGGATAAAGGATTGAATGAAGGGTTTTTTATTCTAACGAAGAATCAATAGAGGGAGTGAAAGGTTAAAGGAGGATTAGAGGGGAGAGAGCGAACCGAGAGATGAACTCTAGTTCATTCTTCCAAGGAGATCGAGCGAGAGAAAGGGAAGGAGAAGATGAGATGAGGCAAAAGGAATGAGGAGAAGAAGAGAGAAGATAGCAAGAAAGTGAGGGAATGAAGGAGAGAGAGAGATTGAACCAAAGACTTTCTTCGAAGAACTGGAGAAGAAGAAAAAGAGAGATAGATAAGAGAGAGAAAGAGAGAAAGAGAGAAATCGAGGGAGAGGAAAGAGCAAAAAAGAAAGAAAGAAGGTTTGATTTGAAAAAAATAGAGAGGCTTAGTTGGTGCTATTGGGCTTGGGTCCAGCTAAAATTGAAATGGATTGGACTAAGCCCAACCCATGTGCTAGTTGGATCGGGCTAATTTCAGCCAATCTAGTCCGAAAGAAAAGGAAGAAAAATTGAGCTTAAAAGTGCTACCTATTTATAAGATTTTATGTTAAAAAAAATATATGTCTATGTGTTTTAGTCAATAATCAAAACGTTTATACTTACAAATCATTCCATTTATGCTTCTTAGTGCACAATTAAAACTTTTCTCCCATTTTAAAGCTCAACTTACATATGCTTCCTAGTCAATGATTAAAATTTTTACGCTATATTAAACTTCGACATGCAATAACATTCATAAATTTTATAATACCAAATAAAAGATAACAATAGATAAAAAAAGAACTCACATCGGATAAAAAACTATACCCAATAAAATTATTACAATGAAACACAAACAAATTACTATACTATCCCAAATTTTCTCGGAGCGAAGCCCGGTATCGACACTAGTAGGTTTTAAAATATTTAGAATTTTTAGTCAAATTGAAAAAGTTCTTCAATATTTAATTTTCTAATTTAGATTTAGATTTAGATTTGATTTTTTATCGACAAATAAAATCTTTCATTTTCATTGATCGATTTCCGGCTACACGTGAGAGACAAAAAAGCGTAACAATAAAAAAACTCAAATCCAAATTAAAAAAAATCAAAACTCGTTATTTATAATTATGGAGTATTTGATGAAATATCTTAACTTAGAAATGGTTAATAATTAAAAATTTTACACTATGTTAAACTTCAACATGCAATAATATTCATAAATTTTATAATACCAAATAAAAGATAACAATAGATAAAAAAAAAAAAAAGAACTCACATCGAATAACAAACTATACCTAATAAAAAAAATTATTACGATGAAACATGAAAACATTACTATACTATGTTAAAATTTTCTCGGAGCGAGCCTAGGTACCGAAACTAGTAGGTTTTAAAATATTTAGAATTTTTAGTCAAATTGAAAATTTTCTTCAACATTTAATTTTCTAATTTAGAATTTTTTTTTTATCAGCAAATAAAATCTTTCATTTTCATTGACCAATTTCCAACTACGCGTGAGAGACATAAAAGCAAAACAATCAAAAAACTCAAATCTAAATTAAAAAAAAAAAATCAAAGCCTATTATTTATAATTATGGAGTATTTGATGAAATATTTTAACTCGAAATGGTCATTGATTCAAAAACCACTCATATAAAACAAGATCTCATAAGATTTTCAATAGTTATAAATGTTAGTCTAGGTGCCCAAGATCCAACCACGTTTGGATAGGTTTGAGTTATTGTATAATTGTATTATTTATTTTATTAATAAAAGAAGTCTTTCTATTAATTCTTATCATTTGTATTTATTTATTGAATTAAATTAGATAGAAGTCTACATGATATGCATGTGCATTCATGATTGATTGAAAGATGTGAGATAAATGTTAATGCACATAAATGATATCATTAAATTTCTTAAGTCGTAGCATTGTCAAGAATGGACATTGAGTATATGCGATTAGACTTGTGAGTGCTATACTCATGCTATATGATAGCGAGCAAGAGATCTCACACTAATTGGCATAATGATGCCAAAGCAAGCATTTAGGTGATTAATATTTGAGAATATATCACTCGGACTTGACTCATCATGAGAACCCATTTGGTTTAGTCTATAGAAATCTCATACAAGATGGATACAACTAGTCCTTAAACTTGAAGTTATCATGGTCATCTCGTTAAAGGATTTATATACTTTGACACTTGTTTTGATGGACCTAGTAAATGGTTGCATGTGGGCGATGCGTTTGGTGCATTAGGAATCTAAATGCAGGTAGGTGGATGACTAAGATAAGATATGTCATTCCTTATATGCTAAAAGAGTTATCACATTGTCCTTCGATGAATGTCCGCTTAAAAAATTTATGGTTACAATAGGAGTACACCAATAGCGCATAGTTGGTTTACTCTAAGAGCTAAGATAATTGAGAATTAAAGAAAACTTATGTGATCAAAATCGAACAAACTAATAACTAAGTTCAATATCACACTATAATAAGTTGATATGAGTAATAAATTATATGGTAACCATGCTCGTGAAAAATAATTATGAATTAATTATTCCTCCTAGAGAATTGGATAGTCATGATGTCTTGTTAGAGGCCAATCTTGATTTATGTATCAAGAGATAAAATAGTTATCTTTTATTCTTGATACATTGCTAATAAATATATGAGTGTATTAAGTCACATACACAAGTTTAAGCATTCACATAATAAAAAAGAAGCAAATATGTTGGAAAAAGTTTATAATTTTGAAAGTTTTCTATTTTGAAAAAGGTTTTCAAAAATAGAAAGTTTTCTATTTTAGAAATCAATTTCCTAATTTGAAAGCCAGTTCCAAATTTGAAGTAAATTACCTAAAAAGAAAATCGAGTTTCCTAATTTAGGTTCAAGGTCATTTGAAATTTTTTTTCTAATGTCGACCTCTTAAAAATATCTAAACTAATTTATTTAGATAGTCCAAATTAATTAATTGAGCCAAAGAAGTTTGGGCTAATAGAATTAATTAAAAGCCCGAAAGATATTTTGATGGGAGGATAAACATGAACCTTATTGGATAATGATGAATATTCTAAAAGATAAGATCAACAAACTCACATGCATAATAACTCTTAGTCTTTGGAGGATTAGGAAGCAACAACGTAGAGTCCACATGGGATATGTTTTTGCCCCTTCCTTGTCCTTGGAGGACAAGGAAGCCTCTCACCCTATAAATAAAAGGAGAGGTACGGCAAAGAGTGCCAATGCATTAGGGCTACACGATAAAAGGCAAAAATAAAGAGAAAATATTTCTCTCTCTACCCTAGCACACTCCACCTCTCCCCTATCTCTTGGGGTTGTCGCAAAATATTCCCGAATAGATTTTTAAAATAAAAACACTAAACAAGTAAGAAAAGATGGAGCTAGCACTCTACTAATTCCGAGTGCTTCTTGTAGGGGTTTTTGAATCTGCGTGGGTTATTGATAGAGGCCGAATGCTTAGACAACTCCTTTTCGCAAATGTTTAATTCTCCACTACAAGAGGCAATCCTTTATTTATGTTTTAATTCATGTATATATGATTAATTGATTCAACGGTATGATCTTGAAAACTTTAGATAGAGAATTATTTTTTATTTTATTCCGTACCTCCATAGGATGCATGATCCTTTAACAAGGACTAAGAAGATAGACATTGGAGCTACCAAAAGAAGGTTGAATTCCGTGTGATAGGGGAGGAGGGAGATGATACGCATGCCAAGATGAGTGTTGAGGATGGAATCGGCCATAGGAACCGCATAATGGAGCTTATATATTGCGGTGGTTGTTAGAGGTACCATAATGCAAGAATAACAGGATGTCTCAAACCCTATGGAAGCTCAACCAAATAACATAAGATAAAATCCTCCTTAAGGCTAATCTACCTCCAAATAACACAATAATCCTTTTGCAAATCAACAACAATCAAGTCATCAACTAAATCTCCAACATGCAAAAATAGATTTATCAAATAAGACACACGAATAGCCTAAATAAAATAGGAATGGATCCCGAGTTATATTTTTTCAAATGAGCTAAAAATTACCACATGCTACCTAACATATAGTAGTGGCATGCAAAATTTAAGGTAAAACAAAGTCCCCCGAGGTCTTATTTAGGTAAGTCAAAATTCTAATTCAAATATATCTCTGTATTGTCAAAATTTCGGAAAGCTATTTAATACCGTTCATCCCTCAAGGCAACTCCAAATATCTCCAAATTTTATACACAACCACTTTAGGTCTAGTAAAAGGTGCCTGTAAAGTTTGAGCCCTAACAAATAATCCTCTCCCTATAATTTAGGAAACAATTAATCGATTAGGACTTAATAATCTAACCTAAGTTCAAAATACAAAATAAACTCAAATAATAATAATTCAATTCATATGAAAAATAAATAAACAAAACATAAAAATAAAAATAGATGATTAAAAACTTCCGGTCGACATTGGCCTAGAGCATTCGGCTACGGTGAGGAGTGGACACTCATGTGTCATACCATTATCTAATCCCTTTACTAGTTTTCTTTTTTTTTTTTTTCAATTATTGTCTCATTTGTATCTTATGTGGACATGTGCTTTCTTAATTCTCAGATGTCGTTATACTCTGATTAAAGAGATGCTTGGACATTTGCTTTGTACTACTGCTGTTGTTGGTTTGAACTTGGGCGTCTCGTCATCAAAAATATTTTCAAAGCCAGGAAATGTAGGAGAAAAGTTCTAGTAAAAATGGAGACCAACAAAAGTAAGCGAAGAGCGAGGGAGATGAGAAAACTAAAACAGTTCTATTGCTCAAGCCTGGGATAGGGGGAATGGGGACTAAGAATTAAAACACAGCCTCTTTCTTTATTCTTGTTGGTTTTACCTTCAATTTGGGATTGGAGGGCTTTGTCATTTAATTTTTTACAATTGAATTGTATCCGTTCATATGTTAGGGGTGGAATCTTTCAGAACACGCGTTATTTTGTTTATTGGATTAAATAACTCTCATTTGCAAAAAAAAAAAAAAAAAAAAAAAAAAAATCTAATTTTAAATTGGTTGGTGAAAATAAAGGACTTGGCTGTTAAAAAAAAAAAAAAATTGGAAATTTTTCTCTACTTGATCAGAAATTAAGAATATTTAATAATCAATCAGCCTGAGGGTGTAGAACTACCTTATGCGTGAACCATGGAGGCCCAAAAATTTAAATCTAAAAATAAAAAAGAAAATATCATTTTAACTACCATTGCTACTATAGTATTAATTAATTTTGTCTGGAAGCACATGATTCATTAAATATAAGAAAATGGTCAAATAGAAAGCGATTATTTTGTCCTGGACTTTGTGTTTGGACAAGCTTCTGTTTTGTGTATGCAAGTGCAGCCTGGACTTAGAAGCTTTCACACGCGATAGGAAGCGTCTACTCCACCGAGTTTCTAATTTCTTGGATGGGATGGGATGGGATGGGATGATTTGTGATCTTTCTCACGAAGGGAAGGGAAGGGACTTGTTCATATTCTAGACTATTTTTCTATTTCAAATTGCCCAGGTTGAAATTAAGTTGCAATTCTGGTACACAAGTTAATCAAAATCCATAAGTTAATTCGAGCAGATATTGAATGGTCAAATAGAACTTAATTAATTCAATGCAATATATATATATTGAAAGTTAATGGATCCAAAATTCTCATAAATTTTAAATAATTTAAAAATTAATTTTTTAACTTTTAAATTTGGATTGAATTTTTTTCTAATTATTTTTTATTTGAAATTAGATCATTACGTTATATTTTTATTAATTCTAATGCATAGATTCGTTAATCGCTAAAAACTTGCCAAATTTATAAATGTTTTTTTTCTAAAACTTTTTTATTCCCATCAAAATGCTATAAAAAATAAATAATTAAAAATATTTTAAAATGAAAGAAATAAGTTTGAAGGAAAAAGCAAAAAGTTTATAAGTTTTAGTATATTTTTAATTGTTAAAAAAAATTAACTATATGTAAATCATGCGTACTTTTATCATTAAAAGTGATAAAAACTTGATAAAAAATCTAATTTTGAATGAAAAATAATTAAAAAAAAGTTTAATTAAAAATAAAAAATAAAAATATTGTTTCTCGGATTACTTAAGATTTCATAAAAAGTTTGAACATTTAACCTTTACATAAAGCCAAGAATATATATATATATAACAATAACATGCTTATTAAGGTCAAAGTTGTGATTTGCTGAATCAGACGTAAACAATTAAACATGTGTTGCATATTGCTTTCATAAATTTAAAATGATAAAAAAAACATGTGTTTGGTAATCATTCGGCTAGCCGAAGAATAGACGGTTTCAGCGTAGCCCATTTTGATCAGTCCTATAGGCATCATTCTTTGACTTATAACCAGACGTAGCCGTGTCTCCTATGAATTAAGAGTCCATTAGAACGTAAAAGAGCTATGAACAAATTAACATAAAAATTAAGATAGCTTAATCATTCTATACATTTCGACAAGAAAAGGGAAAAAAAAAAGCTTTCTTTATATTTTCTCTTGTCTCTGTTTAAATAAAAAAGAAATTTAAGTAAACACCAATGCAAGTTATGTTTAATCAAAAGAAAACACAATTATGCATCGAGTATGATTAACTCAAATGATAGTGAAATTGATTCTTGAAATATTATTTTAATTCGAATATAAGGAGGGAAAATAGAGGGTTTTTTTTTTAGTTATTTATTATAAAGTATTACTGCTCTATCTGAGATTCATTTCGTGTGCAAGGAAAAAAAAAAACGCAGTCCAATAAATTAAGTTGAAAATTGTGCATAAAGAAATCATTGAACTCTCTTCTTAAATGGGCGGTGGATTAAATTTTGCCGCTCCCAAATTTCTTGCTTCATGGGGTGGTGCCACCCTCTCGGACGTGGCCTAAAGTATGTGGAGTGTAGGCAATTTACAATAAAGTATAGAACTATAATATTCTGCAAAAATATTAATTTGTAACCCTAACTCCAAAGAACAGGGACGTAGTCGAAAAGGTTTGATCTCATTATTTTTTCGAGTTTGAATTTTTTTTTTTTTTAATATATAGAGATAAGAATTGATAAACCAAGAATACAGAGTGTGTTTTGTAGCCTCAAATGACTCCCAAAACAAATAAAAAGACGATTAATCTATGACTCTTTTTCTTTGCATTATATCATTGTTTTGTCTTTAGTGTTTTTTTTTTTGTTTTCTTTTTTTAGTTTAATCCTCTTTTTATTTGTTTTGGGAGTCATTTGAGGCTACAAAACAATATCCATGTTCCTCCCCTTGATAAGTAGATCTAACGGCCATCAGTAGTTATGTTACTTAGTAAACAATCTTTTCTCTTGATAAGTATTATTGTCCATCAAATCTGCTCCAATGGATAGCCTCTACTGAAACTCCATATAAACGAAAAAAAAAAAAAAATCAAATAATCATACTCTGTAAAGAAAAGATCCAAGATGATAAAAAAAAAAAAAAAAAAAAAAAAACCCTACATAAATTGGATATTATAAAAAAAAATCATATTTAAAGATATAAAACCTCAATTTTAAATTATTGAACGAAAAATATTTAAAAAAGGAGCAAGATATGCTATTATCGGTGACAGCAGCTAAAAAAACTTAAGAAACTCTAATAACATCCATTAACATTTGTTCTTAGAGCACAAATTGAAAAAACCTCTACATTTGTATTAATTTTACTCGAAACTACTTTTATCTTTTTAACCTTTTTTCTTACTTCTTTGGATTCCTCGTCATCTCATATCTATGTTCATCGATCATATCTAACAATTCTTTAAACTATATTAAGTCGAGTCTATATTTTTTCTCTCAATAACATCCCATTCACTAACAAACAAACAAACTAAACCTTTTTTGTAATTCAACCCCAAAATGGAGCCTTAATTTAAACATTTTACCTATCATTGACGAGACATAAAAGGAAAAAAAAATTAGAGAATCTCGAGATAGAAAAAACATAAACAAATATACAAAAGACATTCAATTCAATAAATAACAATATTGACAAAACTCATAACTAACAAAACTCGGGTAAGACGGTGTTTTGCATAAACTATTCAATTCAAAACCCAAAACCAATTTAATAAACAAATCTTCGGTAAGAAATACAAAACTCATTCAATAAACAAATCTTCGATGAGGAATACAAAACACATTCAATAAACAACAATACTCACAAAACCCATTCATAATTCAATCAAAATGATAGAAGATATAGTTTTCAAAATTAATAACTTAAAATTTTATAAAATTTTGAAATTGTTTACCTTATTAACCCCGTATAAATAGATGAAATGCCGGAAGAGGATACCTACTCGAATGCATTACCAATATCGTCTTTCATTGATAGATCATGATGAAAAATGATGGTCTTCTAAGGATTGAGAAAGAAGAAGATGAAATAGACGAAGTGAAGAGATTGTTTACTTGATTAACACCGTACAAACAAATGAAAATACCGGAAGAGGATCCCCAGCTGAATACACTATCAATATCATCCTTCACTGATCAATTATGATGAACAATTAGGGTTTTTCTTAAAATTGAGAAAGAGGAAGATGAAATAGATGAAAAGAAGATGAACTAGAGAAGTTGAAAGACGAAGAAGAGAAGATGAAACATAAAACAAGAGAAGATGAAATAATCTTGTTAGGAAGAGGAAAATCAAGGAGACGTAAAGGAGAAGAATTTCAAACCGATAGTGCATGTTGATAAGTTGATAAATCTAATGCGTTTGTTTGTTTTTTTCACTTAGTTTAGGATTAAATGGGTTAGGTTAATTAGGCCTTTTCTTTTTTCTCTTATATATATACATTTTTTTTAATTTACAAAATTATTAAAGACTTTTAATTTCTTGGTTTTGATTTATATTGAAATGATTATGACCCATACTGCCATGTATCTTTGTCCGATTCACTATCGTTAGTTTTAACTTATTACGTATAATGAATAGTTAACTGCATTATAACAAAAGGTCTCAATCAATAAATTTGTAAGAGTATAGGGTTTCAATCAAGTTAAAAAATAATAAAGAGTTTCAATAAAAAGAATTCAAACTATACGAGTGATTGATTATGGGGTAAACTCATTCATTAAATATAAGAAAAGGCAATACGCCAATGTAATTATTTTGTCTTGGACTTTTGTGTTTGTACACACTTCGGTTTTGTGTAGCCAAATGTTGCTCGGTCCTAGAAGCTTTCACGCATAATAAAAAGCTTTTACTCGATTGAGTTTCTAATTTCTTAGATGATGAGATGTGATAAACAATACATTATTTTTTATCTTTAGGAAATTGATATGTGATCTTTCTCATTAAAGAAAGGGAAGGGAAAAGCATTTGTTCATATTACTATATATCGAAAGAGGTGGGGGTCCGAACACTTAGTTTCACTATTCACCCCCTCATAAATCACTATTCATCCTTTTTTTTTTTTTTGTTATTTCTAAATTGTTTCATTTTGGCCTCTAGAATTTTAAAATAAAAATTTTAACCTCCTAGCTAATGCAGTACACATGTTTTTTTTTTGGTTTTTTCAATTAATTTTTTTCCATCAATTTATGTTATTTTTTTTATTTAACTCGGGTATTAAAATTTTAAAAAATCAATCATTATTTTTTCACATAAATTGACGATTATATAATATATACAATATGTTTTTAGATTTTAGAATAAATATATGTTATTCTTATTGTTTAAAATTGATCTTTTCAATTTATTATAAAAATTCACATCAAGTTAACTTTTATTATTATTTTTATATTAAAAATTAACTATACATCTTCCAACATAATTATTTTTTTTCACATAAAATGATAATTATATAATATATACGATATGTTTTTAGATTTTAGAATAAATATATACTATTCTTATTGTTTAAAATTGATCTTTTCAATTTATTATAAAAATTCGCATCAAGTTAATTTTTATTCTTTCTTTATATTAAAAATTAACTATACATTTTTCAATATAATACAAATTATTTACTATGGATATTTTTTAACATTATAGAACCAATTTATTTGAAATAAAATAATTAAAATAATTTTTTAAAAGAACCAACCAATTATTCAAATATAGTTTTTTATGCTAATTTTATTGATTATTTTGTGTGTGTGTGTGTGTGTGTGTGTGTGTGTGTGTGTGTATATATATATATATATATATATATATCAAATGCATGTGCTTAAAAACAAAAACAAAAAAAAATCTTCTCACCAACATTAAATAAGAATAACATTTTATTTTTTCATTGGTTAATTTTTATGCAAGTCTATACATTAATTGTAACTTTATTGTTTGGATACATTCTTATAAAAAAATATATAATTTTAAAGTATTTTTTTAATTCTTAATTAATATTTTAAATTTAAATTATTATAAATTTTAGTAAAAAAGAATAAATCATGTTTTTTTAAGTAGAAATTTTATGAAAAACACACAGAAAAAAAAATTTATAATGAAATAAAATTAATGAAAAAATTATAAAATTTTGAAATGATTTTGTTATATCCACTCGTATCATTACGCGTATAATTTTAAAAATTAATCTTTTCATCGGCATTAAATAAGAATTTTTTTTAAGTTGCTAATTTTTGTAAAATTTTATCCATCAATTATAACTTTATTTTTTGAAATATAATATTATGAAAATTATATTTTTAAAGTTTTTTTAATTCTTGATTAATATTTTAGTTAAAATTATTAGAATTTTTTATTTTAAAATCAATCTATAAAGAATAATGATTGATGTTTTTTAAGTAGAAAATTTATAAAAAAAATATTAGAAAAAATTAATTGAATATAAAATTATAATTAAAAAATTTTAAAATTTTAAAATAATTTTGTTTTACCGGATCCGCAAACAACTAGCTAGTTCTCAACTATTTTTCTATTTCAAATTCCCCGAGTTGAAATTAAGTTGTAATTTTCATACACAAGTTAATCAAAATCCATAAGTTAATTGGAGAGCGCACGCGCGTACGCACACACACACACGATATATATATATATATATATATATATATATATTCCATGAAAGTTAATGGATCCAAAGCTTTCATAAATTTTAAATCATTTAAAAAATTAGTTTTTTAACTTTCAATTTCTGATTGAACTTTTCTCTAATCATTTTTTTATGTAAAATTAAATTATTTTATTATATTCTTATTAATTCTAGCGTATAGATTCTTCAATTCCTAAGAACATACCAAATTTATAGATGTTTGTTTTTTTCTCATAAAAACATTTTTATTCTCGTCAAAATGCTAAACAAAATTAAGCAATTAAAAAAAATTTTAAATCAAAGAAATAAGTTTGAAAGAAAAAGCAAAAAGTTTATAAATTTTGATATATTTTTAGTTGTTGAAAAAGGTAAAAAAATTAATTATGTGCAAGTTATGTGTGTTTTACCCTTAAAAGTGATAAAAACTTTAAAAAAAAAAATCTAATTTAAAATAAAAACTAACTCAAGAGAGGTCCGCAATCTAAAATTAAAAATTGAAATATTGTTTCGCAAATTACTTAAGAGTTCATAAAAGGTTTGAACATTTAACTCATCGATAAAGGCAAGAAAAAAGGAAGAAGATATGATGTATATATATAACAACAATAACGTGCTTATTTAGGTCAAAGTTGTGATTTGTTGAATCAAAGACAAAGTTGTGATGTTGTTGAATCAAACGTAAACAATTAAACATGTGTTGGCAGTTTTGAATATTATTTTCATAAATTTAAAATGATAAAAACATGTGTTTGGTAATCATTTGGCTAAATGAAGAATGGACGGTTTCAACGTAGCCCATTTTGTTCAGTCATATAGGCAGCATTCTTTGACTTATAACCAGACCTAGCCAAGTCTCCTATGAATTAGGGATCCATTAGAACGTAAAAGAGCTATGAACAAATTAACATAAAAATTAAGATAGCTTAATCATTCTATACATTTCGACAAGAAAAGGGCAAAAAAAAGCTTTCTTTATAG